GCAACTGGTCAAGGCTGTCGCAGCCCTCCGGTGCCCTTCTGCCGCTGGAACACGACGATGACTACACGAACAACGACGACAGTGCGGCAAGGCTGTGCGGCCACACATATGAAGTGTTCATTCTGTATAAGGTTTAGGCTTTTTTTTAGTTTTAGTTAAACGACTGAAATATCAACTTTTTATGTAAATTATGTTCGAACTTTAATGAAATCTGACTTATTTGATGAATTTTGTCTGGTTTGTTTAAACTTGTTTTAAAATATATGTGAATTTCATTGGATGGCCAGCTTCTGCATTCGTATCCACGAACTGACCTCCTGTCTGCGGCGGATGCGGTGTCCGATTTATGGGTCAGCATTAGAGATGACCTAACAAGGTGGATATATGGTATAGCTTCTACGTGAACCGGCCAAAATACAGAGTGAATCAACTCCTCGTCCCATGTACTTGTAACGCCCTACGACCGGAGCTTCGGATGCCTTCCATGATTTCCGAGATTCGCCGTGTGATTTGTTTGGTTCGTTGCTTTCATTTTGTTAGCATCATGTGCATTGCATCATGTCATCTTGCACCAATTCCTAAAACTCAACCAATTAAATTGTATGGATCTTCGATTCATTTAAATCGAGGGAAGTACATATGGTGTTTTCTCTTTATAACATATCCTCCCAATACTAGGGAGCTATAATAAATATTCCATTAGTTTGAAATTAACCAGAACACACTTGCAAGTAATTCCCCAGGCCTTTGTTATCTCACATCTTGACCTCAAACGTTGTCCATAAATTCTTTCATCACTTTTCCAATCTCCACCAAAATTCCCAACGTTTTGGACTTCTCAAACACCCCATTCCTATTCAAATCCATTTGAATTAAATTCAAATGAATTTGAATTCAATTCTTGCAATCTTGCCACTTCATTTTTTTTGGGATCATACACATTTTTGTGAGTCCGACAAAATAGCCCCCATGCACAAATTCTTTCCCTAACCCCCTCTTCCTTTTCTTCTCTCTAATGTGTTTCTGTTAAAGGAAATAAGAGAGGGAGAAGAGAGTCCAGCCCAGCTAGGCCTCCCAGTAGCCCAACTAATTCGGCCCAAGGCCCATCTGGACCTCCTAACCCTATAACCCCTTCCCGAACCCCATCTCTCTCCTCGTTCCTCCTCCAGCGCTACCAACGCACACACGCTACCAGCGCCAGGAAGGGCTTCGCCCCGATCCCCTCGCGCCTCGCTCGTGTTCTCCTTTGTCGCCTGTAGCGTGCTCCTTCGCCGCCTCGACCCACTGCATCACCCGCCGCCCTTCTCCCCTCGCATCAGCGACGACTACGCCGCCCTACATGTCTTGCTCCGGCCATCCATGGCGCCCGCGCCAAGACCAGCGAGCAGCTGCCCACGTTCCACGCCCGAGGCCTCCTCCTCGACTCCTCCGCCTTTGCGCCAGCAACGGCGTCGCCATCGCCATCCGTCCTCGGGATCCTCGTCAACGTCCAGTCCTGTCCTCGACCTCGCCACCCTCCTCTGCGCCTCCATCACATCGCCGCCTTGCTGCCTTCCCCACCACCGGCTTGCTACCTCGCCGGACCTCCTCTGCCTCCAAGGCCGCCGCTGCTCTGGCCGCAACCACCTCCGACCTTCAACCCCGATGCCCGCCATGGCCCTCCTCACGCTGCTGCTCCTTGGCTTCGTCCTCTGTCGCCACCATCTCCTCTCCCAACGCCCTTGCGGATGATGTCGCTGCAAGACTGCCACGATGCCATCATGGAGCCCCAGGTCCGAAGTTGACCACGACGTCGATGCCCCTCAAGTTCAGCTACACGGAAACGCCAAGTACCCCTACGCGCATGTACAACTACTGATCCCGTGGATGTCACCAAGTACCTCTACCGACAACCTAAACAACTACGTAACATGTACCACTACCGCCGCCTTCGGAATCGCTAAGAACGACAAGAACCTTGATGTCCGATGCATAAAACAACTACCGTCGCTGATGACCCGGGTAGCAGAAATGCCAAGTACCCCTTCAAGTGACGAGACCGGGAAGTTCGAAGACCCCAAGTACCTCTTCGAAACGACCGAGTACCACTACCGTCAACCCTCGAAGACCCCATGGACGTCAAGTTCCTCGTTGTGACCCCGAACACCTACGGAGTGTGTAAAACTACGAAGCGAGAACGACTACTTCCACTACGAACGTCCCGAGAACGTCTACTTCCTCTATGTTGCACCGAACGAGAACCGTCCCGTTTGCACGCTTTGAAGGTGTAACCCCGAGACGACCGCCCGTGAACGAATGCACGTGTTGTATGAGATGCATGTTTGGATGTTGTACCCTCCCGTGAATGTTAGTTGTTTCCTTCGCTTGGCACCGTCATCGACATGTGGGACACCCGGTATCCGGGATCACTCCCCGTCACTCTTGCACGTTTCACGCACCCACACTTGTTCCTTTGCACCAGCATCCCAATTGAGTTGCCGGAACCGATATGTTGCCGTGGCATCATTTTTAGATTCGTTGCCGTGGCACGCCTTTCGTTTCCGCCACGATGACAAATGCTTCATAATATGCTCATGTCAAATTTTTCATAAAAAATTGCATAAAACTTGCCCATGTCATTTGCATCATGGTAACAACTTTTAAAATGGTTAGAATTGTTGTTTGCATTAAATTGCTAAATGCACATGAGGATTTACTGGAATTGTTGTTTGATGTTTCCGGCCTCACTTAAAATGCCTAACTGTGTATTTTACTCATGTTTCACCCCTTGCCATGTTATTCAACATTTAATATTGTTGAGTACATAAACGGGAGAGAACTAAATAAGTCATGTGGTGTTTCGTCAGTATGCAACTCGTTGCATATTGAGCTCCACTTAATTTGTAGTTTTGGTTGTTGCACTTTGTCATGTCATCATGCCTCTTTAAACCAGACATGCATCATACTTGGTTGTGCATCATGCCATGTTTATGTGATGGTTGATTACTATGTTGTTTGCTCCTTTCCGGTATTGCTTCTTCTTGTTAGTTCCGGTAACGTCGCGTTTGTGAGGATCCGTTCGACTACGTCCGTTTGTCTTCTTCATGGACTCGTTCTCCTTCCTTGCGGGATCTCAGACAAGATGACCATACCCTCGAAATCACTTCTATCTTTACTTGCTAGTTGTTCGCTCTATCGTTATGTCGCGCTACGTACCACTTGTTTATCATGCCTCCCATATTGCCATGTCAAGCCTCTAACCCACCTTCCTAGCAAACCGTTGTTTGGCTATGTTACTACTTTTGCTCAGCCCCTCTTATAGCGTTGCTAGTTGCAGGTGAAGCTGAAGTTTGTTCCATGTTGGAACATGGATATGTTGGGATATCATTATTATATCTTTTACTTTAATGCATCTATATACTTGGTAAAGGGTGGAAGGCTCGGCCTTATGCCTGGTGTTTTGTTCCACTCTTGCCGCCCTAGTTTCCGTCATACCGGTGTTATGTTTCTTGATTTTGTGTTCCTTACGCGGTTGGGTGTTATGGGAACCCCTTGACAGTTTGTTTTGAATAAAACTCCTCCAGCAAGGCCCAACCTTGGTTTTAACATTTGCCACCTAATCCTTTTTCCCTTGGGTTCTGCTGACTCAAGGGTCATCTTTATTTTAAACCCTCGGCCCAGTGCTCCTCTGAGTGTTAGTCCAACGTGGGCGATGTCCGGCCCCCCCTGGGCAACCAGGGTCTATGCCAACCCAACGTCTTGCCCATCCGGTGTGCCCTGAGAACGAGATACGTGCGACTCCTATCGGGATTTGTCGGCACATCGGGCGGCTTTGCTGGTCTTATTTTACCATTGTCGAAATGTCTTGTAACTGGGATTCCGAGACTGATCGGGTCTTTCCGGAAGAAGGAATATCCTTCGTTGATCGTGAGAGCTTGTGATGGGCTAAGTTGGAACACCCCTGCAGGGTATAAACTTTCGAGAGTCGTGCCCGCGGTTATGTGGCAGATGGAATTTTGTTAATATTCGGTTGTAGGGAACTTGACACTTAACTTAATTAAAATGAATCAACCGCGTGTGTAACCGTGATGGTCTCTTCTCGGCGGAGTCCGGGAAGTGAACACGGTTCTTGTGTTATGATTGTGCGTAAGTAGTTTCAGGATCACTTTTTGATCATTCCTAGCTTCTCGACCGTTGTGTTGCTTCTCTTCTCGCTCTCATTTGCGTATGTTAGCCACCATATATGCTTAGTGCTTGCTGCAGCTTCCCCTCACCACTTTCTCCTACCCATAAGCTTAAATAGTCTTGATCTCACGGGTGTGAGATTGCTGAGTCCTCGTGACTCACAGATACTTCCAAACAGTTGCAGGTGCCGATGATACCAGTGCAGGTGACGCAACCGAGCTCAAGTGGGAGCTCGATGAAGATCTTGATCGTTATTGTGTTCCGTTTCCTATTGATCAGTAGTGGAGCCCAGTTGGGACGATCGGAGATCTAGCATTTGGGGTTGTCTTCTTTTATTTTGATTCCGTAGTCGGACCTTTGATTGTACTTTGGATGATGTATGATTTAATTATGTATTGTGAAGTGGCGATTATAAGACAACTCTTTATCCCTTTTTTATTCAGTACATGAGATGTGTGGAGATTACCCCTCTTGCGACAAGTCTATCATGCGGCTATGCCTCTAAATCGTGCCCCGACACGTGGGAGTTATAGCCGCATTGTGGGTGTTACAGTACTCATCTCTAGATTAAGGAGATTTGAAACTTTATTCAGCATTAAACCTTCTCGGGTGTTCTCACCCTTAAATTTGGACTCAAAATAACCCAATTGTCCTCCCATATGTTCACTTGGGATTGGCAAACATATCATCCTTTAAAGGCTTCCAATCCTGCCATAATACTTGTCGCGTCATTGATTAACCCTTCTTTGCTTTTGCATTAAGCAAATTTCCTTCCAGGAAATATTCGCTCTTAGAGCAGAAACACACAAAGAGTTTGGTTCCTCCATTAATTCTCATCATTGTTTGGCTAACATGCCCAGGTTAAAATATTCTAGGTTTCTAAATCCCATTGCACCCATAAGCTTAGGATACATAATTTTCACCATGCTACCCAATGAATACTTGACACCAATAGCCGGTGATCGATTGCGTGGGAACTGCTCCCATCGAACGATTCGTTCATCACGGGGTTCAGAAAATCGTTGTGCCAAGACTTCATGAAACCAGCGCAACAAAACAGCGTTTTTTCGGGATTTTGAACACTAACATTGCAAGCACGCGTATGGGTTGATCCACAACTCTAAAGCAACAATTACTTTCCTCCTGTTGATAGCATTTCTCCTTCCACCCTGCAACTCTTGCACAAACTCCATCAATAAGATGCGGAAACAATCTGAACGGTCCACTCCCACCATTGCAGGCAAAAACCCACGCACTTGTCATTTGGGGACTCTGTCATGATATTTAGCAATTTACACACTTGTACCCTTGAATGAACATCAGTATTGGGACTGACAAAGATGCTACATTTCTCTTCACTCACCATCTGACCTGAGCTCGTACAATTTTCGTCAAGGATTGTTCTAACTCATAATGCATTCTTTTCATCAGCAGACATAAGTATAAGCGAGTCATCCGCAAATAGAAGGAGAGCCATACTTCTCTAGAAAGATGGCCACCTTTCCTGGTGTGGTCTGGGTACTGCATGATGTGGGAACGCCAGAGGTTATTCTGTGCTTAGCACCATCAAGGAGAACAACAGCAGAAGTAAAATAGTTCAGGGAATGATCGGCCATCTTCTCTTGATGCTGTTTTCGCCAGCACCATCAATCAACTATGGATTGCAGCCATCGATCATATTACCATCTCCTTGCAAAAACCATAAAATACATTGTAGTCCCTCCGTTTCTAAATATTTGTCTTTCTAGATATTTCAACAAGTGACTACGTACGGAGCAAAATAAGTGATCTAAAATATGTCTATATACATCTGTATGTGGTAATCCATTTGAAATCTCTAGAAAGACAAATATTTAGGAACAGAGGGACTACAATGTAATTTATGGTTTCTTTCTGCAAGGAGTACGTAGCAACATAAATAGTACATTAACGTAATCTGCAAGAGTCAAAGTTAGCAAACTTCTTCTGTCTATTATGGGCTCTGATCAGCATCTGGTATTTAGACAAAGGAAAAACAAATGGCTATTAACCATCTCTAGCCAGTCTGCTAAAACCGGGAGGATTGCCATCAGTAACCAACAAAGGCTCGTAATTCATGTCCGGTAACCTGAATTACCATCTTCGGAACATATTTTGACAATGAGACACTAATCAGACCGTGAAGAGCCGGTTCGATAATATAAGGGGGCCCGTACATTGTGTCAACTATTTCATTTTATAATTTACAAATTGCTCTGTCGAAGCCACATCAGGGACATGTTGCACCCTCAATGGATAATGCAGAGTTACAGCTGCGATTCGATGTCATTTCCTACCCTGTTGTCACTGTGGCGACGCCCAAAGCCAATGGCAGGAGCAGTTGTCGGGCCACTGTCTATCTCAGCTTTGCAGAGGGGGCACAGTGCGTTTATCTTGAGCCATTTGTCTACGCATTCTTTGTGGAAGAAGTGGGTGCAAGGAAGCTCTCGGAGATCATCATTGTTCGAGTATCTTGCTAGGCAGATACAGCAAATCTGCATATCAAAGGACGCACCTCAGGCTTTAAATCAAGAGTATAGGTAAGAAAGTTGTGTAATACTCCCTCCCACTACTATAAGATGTTCCAACTTTTTTCTAAATGGGATATATGTAGACACGTTTTAGTGTGTTTGTTCGCTCATTTCAGTCTATATTGAAATATCCAGAACATCTTGTAATAGTGAATGAGGGGAGTAGATAGGAGTGTGGGAGAAAAACTCACAGCATCTTCAGCAGAAACAATCCGCTCCTTGTCTGTTCCAGCAGCAACAACTCCGCCGCCGACTTCAATCCCCTCGCCGTTACGGGACTTCTTCGTTTTGAACTTGTATGTTCTCAAGGCATTGATTGCTTCTGCAGTAGCACCTTTGTTTTGGTTTAGATCTTCACGAAAGCTCATTAGGGAGATTATGCAGGGCAGGCAGCAACATATCAGTGCGCACAGAATGAAAGGCATAGCATAGCCGATGCAGCTAAATGTGAGGAAGGCTATACACAACCTGAAAAAGAAAAGATTTACACTTATGAAACACATAAATGAGTTGCAAAGATACTGCAGCACGGGAAGCTAGCAGCTCACCTGTATAAGTTGGGAGCGTCATGGGCAGAGGAATGTCCACCAAATACCCACACATTCCCCACAACAAACCACACGGCGAAGAAACAGTCAAGGGCCATCCTGAAGTGATCGGCATAAGCTTGGGCCCTGTAAGAAAGAGTCCGGGTGCACCTCAGTTTAAAACTTAAAACATAGCAACTCAGAGGCTGCACTCTAAAGAAAGCTAGCCAAAGAAGTGCTGAGAATACTAATGCCCTCCACACAGGACGATAGCTTTACTTTAACAAAACGTTGGCAGAATAATAGTCATGTATATTTTTGTCATCAGATTGTGTCCACATTACCCCATTTATGTTATCCTACTGTGCAATCATAATAGCACAACAAATAGAGGTTTAACGCAATTTCTCCACATGTCTTACAGAGAGAGACAGTAGATGAATTAGACTACAGGCATATAAATTTAAAAGGGGCTGAAGTAATCATGGAACTGAAGACAATGTTACCTGGGATTTCTGGTAAGCACGTTGTTTTGCGAGACTCCATTTGTGTCAGTTACAAAACCAGCTTCAGACATGCCAGGGGCCGAATTTGTTGTGTGAGAATTGGACTCAGGTATGCTGTTCGGAGGGAAGTTCTGACTTGCTGGTTCTTGCCCAGTTGTTGGGCGGTTGCGATGGAGATAGCGCCAGTAGAGAAGAGGAAGAGTAGCAACACAACCTACCGTATAACCAATGACCCACTCAAATAATGGAGAATGCGGACGTTCCTTCCTTGACAATGACAGAACACAAATGGCCGCTATAATCTGGCTAACTGTTACAACAAGCTCAATGGAGATCCAGCAACTAGAATTCAACGGACTTTGCCGATGACGAGCACGATTAGCATCTCTTCTTGCTAGAGGAGCACTTTGAGAGTTAGATGCAGTAGTTGTCTCCGAAGAACTTTCTGAGATGTGAGGCAATCGATCCAAACCATCATTATCCTCCCGACGAGTGGTTGACGATGAAGCAACATCATCCCTTGGGCTCTCAATTGCAATCTCAAGATGAGCAGTATTTTCCATGTGGTCTATCAGTAAAGGGTGATTGTCTGTTTCACTGCTTGCTTCTGATTCAACAGGATGAGCAGCCATCAACTGAACGCTGCATATGAAACTAGCTCGTTGTGTTTGCCAGAAATACAGCTGCTTTGACTTAAGACAGATGGCAATCTCTATAGGAAAATGGACTTGATCCAAGGCCAGGCAATTTGAATTGTTTTTTTAAACCTATGACAGCAGGACAGATTCACTGCACCTGAAAGAAGATGAACAACAGATGCCAATTAGCTATATTTAACTAGCTCTCTTTAAGCAAGAAGCTCTAAACAGAATTGACTAACATTAATAACAATCTACATATATTTGCTGTGGTCAATTCAACTGATCTATAACAGGGAGCTCAATCTGCATTTATTTACTGTCTCTGGTTAAGTTGTGTACAGACACCATAATACGAGGAAAACAATACTTCAGTAATTTTAGCGGTTTGACTGGCATAATGATACATAGTTGTCACTTGTCAGATAAGCAGGAATGAATAGCTAGTATAGCACAAAAGATGTTTCTCTGAAAGATTTTCAGAGGCCTATATCCCATCCTACCAGTTTCTGATGGGAATTCAACCTAACTGCATAATTTGACCTGGGGACCTGCAAGTCCGTGTATAGATGTGAACCCTAGCATCACAGTTACTGTGCATGTTCTGCTCAGAAACAGAGAAAGGATTACATCATCATTGTAGAATGTCCTTAGTGGATTGCTCACCAATACATATATATACAGGTTCAGTATCATGCTCAAAACTTGTAACAAATGGAGGCCAAGTTTGAAACCTCGTATGGATGAACAACATTCTCTAACAACTTAAAACGGAATGCTTATAATATACTTAAAGTAGGAACTACACCCTATGCTCCTGAATATAAGACGTTTTGGCAGTTTAATTTAGAAACAGAGATGGTACTTGTGAATCATTCCATTTAATTGAGCAGAGTATACAATCATTTACACATAAAAATACTTCTGACTAAAGAACATCATGGGTTCAAGGTAATCACATGGGGAAATGTAAAGAGGTGTTCAGCGAAGACATGCAAAGATTTTCATGATAGCATACTACCAACATTAAGCCGATCTGTATCTCCCGGGTTGATTTAGAGAGCAAATCAAATAATGATAATTCAATTAAATGATGAACAAAGCACAGGAACAAAAGACGGGTGAGTCTAGTCTATCATCAGCATGAGCATTCTCTACATCTCACTGAGAATAGATGAAGAACCCCAAACTGAGTTCATCTTGTACTAAAAACTTGTAAATCATGACAACAGACCTCCAAACTAACCAAAAACTTTTTCCAGATTTAGGTATATTCGAGGCTGTGGGCCTGTGGCATCTTCTGGCGCTCTATTCGTCTAATTATATTATCCAAACACCAATTATAAGCTCTTTGAAGTTCGATGTTCTAGTGTAGTAAAGAAGTACTCTAGTTAACAGCTATATTCTTGTTCCATACAGCCTTAATCAAACACTAAACTGATTTTCGCCTATTTCCCCTCACATTTTCTCCATCAGTTATTCAGAGACTAAAAAAAGGGACCAAGTCCGCCGCATACAAAAGATCAAGCCGAACCAGAAACACCACATACCTCAAGAAAATCCACTCCCCGGGAACAGCAGCAGCCAGCAGCTCCTCCAATCGCCTGAAACTTGACAGATTCAAGAATCCATGAGAGAAGAAGGCGGAAGAAAGCAGAGGAATAACGCCAGACGCGTACCTGGACCACTTAAGATCGAATCAAATGCTTGGCTCCCAAGCGACCATCCGCCGAGGGTTTCACCAAAGAAATCCAAAGAAAAATCGCCGGACGGCAAGATTGGGCCTTAGGGGAAGGAACAGGTGCCAAACCCTTGGACCAAAGCAAACTCCATTAGTTAAACGGAAAGCACCCAGCTGGCGGGGAAGGGGAAGATGGGAATATACCAAATGGCCAAGTCCAAAACTCCGAGTCGAATTCGTCTTCCTTCCTCAGTCCTCCTCCTCCTCCTCTACTTCTCTTCCCCTTTCTCCAAGTTGAGTGACGACGTATATTTGGAAGGGAAAAACAATTGTGTTTTGTTGTGGTGATTTTGTTTCTAATAAGTAGAGTAATTATTTTGGAGGAATCTTTTGGCCGCTCGAGGTGGGGGAAGGAGAAGGGCGAGCTGTGTACATCGTGGCCGTTGGCTGGATGCGCGTTAGGGATCGCACGGCGAGGTGGTGAGCGGCGTGAGAACCGCACGTGGCCGCTTCACCGGAATTGCTGGGATGGGCGATGGGCCACGTGGGAGATGGTGAGTGGTTTCAAACGGAGGATCGGTGTTTGGCGCAAGAGAGCCGAGATGGCAGTTGGATCGATGACTTCATCAACGGGAGAGTGGGTAATAATGTACTGTGAGATGCAGGATTAGGTTGGTCTTTCTTGTTCTTTAGTGAAACGAAAAAAAAAACACCCATTAATAACTTTAAAAGGATCAACAGTACAAACCTAATAAAAATTACGTCGAGATTCTGAGACCACATAACGACCACTACTGTCGTCGGAACGAGCCGTTGTCGCCGTTGCACTGCTGGAGCCGACTTGACCTTGTCGATGACAACCAAGAAGTCTTCGTGCACGTGCCTCTAAGGACCACTCGCAGTTGTCGTCGTTGAACCCTTACATGGATCTAAAGCAACTCACACAAGTCTCACCGCATGATGAGAAATCCTAACGTCACGGTCTCAAGAAGACGGTAGGAATCTACACCGGAGCTCCTTTAAACTTGAGGAGAATTGAAGTCTGGAATACAAATTCAAAGAAGAAGCGATGCCATGCACCTGAGGATCGTGATACGTCTCCAACGTATCTATAATTTTTAATTGTTCCACGCTATTGTATTATCTATCTCGAATGTTTAATATGCATTTATATGTCATTTTATATGATTTTTGGGACTAACCTATTGACCTAAAGCCCAGTGCCAGTTTCTGTTTTTTCCTTATTTTTGAGTTTCGCAGAAAAGGAATATCAAACGGAATCCAATTGACCTGAAAATTTACGGAGATTATTTTTGAAAAATATAAAAAAATACTAGAACGAAAAGATATCGGAGAAGAGCCACGAGGCATCCACATGGACAGAGGGCGCCCCACCCCCTAGGGTGCCCTCCCCCGTCCTTGTCGTCGCCTCGTGGGCCCTCCTGACTTATTCCCGACGCCAACGCCTCTTATAAATCCCCAAAACCCTAGAACAGAACTTAGATCGGGAGTTCCACCGTCGCAAGCCTCTGTAGCCACTAAAAACTAATCGGGACCCTGTTCCGGCACCCTGGCGGAGGCGGGAATCATCACCGGTGACTATCTTCATCATCCCGGCGCTCTTCATGAGGAGGAGGGAGTAGTTCACCCTCGGGGCTGAGGGTATGTACCAGTAGCTATGTGTTTGATCTCTCTCTCTCTTTCTCTCTCCCTCTCTCTCTCGTGTTCTTGATTTGGCACGATCTTGATGTACTGCGAGCTTTGCTATTATAGTTGGATCTTATGATGTTTCTCCCCCTCTACCTTCTTGTAATGGATTGAGCTTTTCCTTTGAAGTTATCTTACCAGATTGAGTTTTTAAGGATTTGAGAACACTTGATGTATGTCTTGCATGTGCTTATCTATGGCGACAATGGGATATTCACGTGATCTACTTGATGTATGTTTTGGTGATCAACTTGCAGGTTCTGTGAACTTGTGAACTTATGCATAGGGTTGGTACACGTTTTCGTCTTGACTCTCCGGTAGAAACTTTGGGGCACTCTTTGAAATTCTTTGTGTTGGTTTGAATAGATGAATCTGAGATTGTGTGATGCATATCGTATAATCAAACCCGCGGATACTTGTGGTGACATTGAAGTATCTAGGTGACATTAGGGTTTTGGTTGATGTGTGTCTTAAGGTGTTATTTTAGTACAAACTCTGGGGCTGTTTATGGCACTTATAGGAATAGCCCAATAGATTGATCAGAAAGAATAACTTTGGAGTGGTTTCGTACCCTACAATAATCTCTTCGTTTGTTCTCCGCTATTAGTGACTTTGGAGTGACTCTTTGTTGCGCGTTGAGGGATTGTTATATGATCTAATTATGTTATCATTGTTGAGAGAACTTGCACTAGTGGAAGTATGAACCCTAGGCCTTGTTTCCAAGCATTGCAATACCGTTTTCGCTCACTTTTACTACTTGCTACCTTGCTGTTTTTATATTTTCAGATTACAAAAACTTATATCTACCATCCATATTGCACTTGTATCACCATCTCTTCATTGAACTAGTGCACCTATACAATTTACCATTGTATTGGGTGTGTTGGGGACACAAGAGACTCTTTCTTATTTGGTTGCAGGGTTGTTAGAGAGAGGCCATCTTCATCCTATGCCTTTGATAACCCACAAGTATAGGGGATCGCAACAGCTTTCGAGGGTAGAGTATTCAACCCAAATTTATTGATTCGACACAAGGGGAGCCAAAAAATATTCTCAAGTATTAGCAGCTGAGTTGTCAATTCAACCACACCTGGAAACTTCATATCTGCAGCAAAGTGTTTAGTAGCAAAGTAATATGATAGTGGTGGTAGCGGCAACAAAAGTAAAGACAACAAAAGTAATGTTTTTGGTATTTTGTAGTGATTGTAACAGTAGCAGCGGGAAAGTAAATAAGCGTAAACCAGCATATGGAAAACTCGTAGGCACCGGATCAGTGATGGATAATTATGCAGGATGCGGTTCATCATGTATCAGTCATAACATAAGGTGACACAGAACTAGCTCCAATTCATCAATGTAATGTAGGCATGTATTCCGTATATAGTCATACATGCTTATGGAAAAGAACTTGCATGACATCGTTTGTCCTACCCTCCCGTGGCAGTGGGGTCCTATTGGAAACTAAGGGATATTAAGGCCTCCTTTTAATAGAGAACCGGAACAAAGCATTAGCACATGGTGAATACATGAACTCCTCAAACTATGGTCATCACCGGGAGTGGTCCCGATTATTGTCACTTCGGGGTTGCCGGGCCCTAGTGACAAA